GCTACAGGCTTGGGGAGGAGTGGCTGGAGAGCTGCCAGTCAGAGAGGGACCTGGGGTTGTTGATAGACAGCCGGCTGAACAGGAGCCAGCAGTGTGCCCAGGTGGCCAAGAAGGCCAATGGCATCCTGGCTTGTGTCAGCAATAGCGTGGCCAGCAGGGACAGGGAAGGGATCTTACCCCTGTACTCGGCACTGGTGAGGCCGCCCCTCGATTCCTGTGTTCAGTTTTGGGCCCCTCACTACAAAAAGGACATTGAATGACTCGAGCGTGTCCAGAGAAGGGCAATGAAGCTGGTCAAGGGTCTGGACCACATGTCCTATGAGGAGCAGCTGAGGGAACTGGGGGTGTTTAGTCTGGTGAAGAGGAGGCTGAGGGGAGACCTCATCACCCTCTACAGCTACCTGAAAGGAGGGTGCAGAGAGCTGGGGATGAGCCTCTTTAGCCTAGTAGAAAGCGACAGGACAAGAGGAAATGGCCTCAAGTTGCGCCAGGGAAAGTTCAGACTAGATATCAGGAAGCATTTCTTTCCAGAAGGGGTTGTTGGGCGTTGCAATGGGCTGCCCAGGGAGGTGGTGGAGTCCCCATCCCTGGAGGTGTTCAAGAGTAGAGTTGATTTAGAGCTTAAGGATATGCTGTAGGTGGGAACTGTGCTAGGCGAACGGTTGGACTAGATGATCTCCAGGGTCCTTCCCAACCTAGATGATTCTGTGATTCTTTCATTAAAGTCAGTGACAGTTGATGAAAGTCCCCTAACTAAAGAAAGAAAAAATGTCTTAAGTGTGGTACATATGTTTGACACAGGGACTTGTAAGTAAGAATGTGTTAGAATATGTTCTAAGGTGGGACTGGAAGATGTTTTTAATTACTGCTTTTTGGTAGGGCCTTGGCAATTGACAGAGTGAGTGAAAGACCTTTTTTAAAAAGAAACCTTATTATTATCAGACCTGCCATGAATATCAGCTAGGTGTGTAAGTATCTCTTTATATTGTATTTATTTATAAGGATTAATAGATGATTCTAATTTGGAGGTCATACCATAAATTTTTGCAATGAGCTCTTCAGCTCCTGTATGTGTGTCAACGTAACCTGTTTGCAACCACTGGATTTATGGTTTTACGATATATGGCTGCGTAGTGCAGTCCTTTGGCCAGCCTTTTCAGAAGTCTTCTATATAATCCAACTTTTTTTTTTTTTTTCCCCCTGCTTTCCCTTCTGCACAGAAGGGTAATTTCTGGAGTGTATAGTACTCTTTTTTTAATTTTTTTTTTTCCTGTGTTCATTCTGATGGTTTGTACTGGGAGATATGGGAAGTGGAAAACAAATTATTTCTGTCTTTTTTTCAAGTCTAAGAAAATGTGTGTTTTGGGAGGCATATTGTCTGCTTTTTAGATTTAGTTTCTGTAGGCTTTCTTTAGCAAGTACCTTGTTTTTCTGGTGGCAGGGTAGTTATGTACTATTAAAACACCTTGTGATGTGCACAAGCACTTTAAAGAATTCACTTATATATTTTTAATAGTGCTACTTGTCTGATAAGTCGTAAAAGCAATTGAAACTCTAAATCCCATGACTGCTGCTGTTAGAAATCTAATGGGGAGGGCACACTGTTCACAAAGTGCTCTGAATTAACACAATAGTTCAAATTTTAAATTAAAACCCTGCAGTTTGGTATCATCATGCCTCCAGTGAATCTCTGTGGCTGAAGGGCAGTACTAGGTGCCATGAGACATGAGTTCTAGCTTAGACTTCACTGTACAGTTATTGTGTGACCTAGTTTTTTCTCATCTTCTGTATGCTTTCTATTTTTCTACACTAGAAATAATGAATGGCACAGTCTCACATGGGATGCATGAAATTTTTAATGTAAGGTAAACGAAGAAAAATTACTCCTTGAAATAACAATATTTTAGTTTTTCTCAAAGGTTATATTTAACTCTCAGTTGACAGAATGACAGGAATGGAGACTGAAACAGCAAGAGACAAAGCCATGGAAGAAGAAAGCACTGAACAGAAAAAGGAGAAGGAGAAAAAGAAGAGGTCAAGGGTTAAACAGGTGCTGGCAGATATAGTGAAACAAGTGGATTTCTGGTTTGGCGATGTTAATCTCCACAAAGATCGATTTCTCCGAGAACAAATAGAAAAGTCCAGAGATGGGTGTAAGTTTATATTCACTATATTTCAGTAAACAGATATGTATAACTTTCCTCTTCACTATATTGCTGGCAACAGTTACAAGTTATTTTGAGGTTCATGTCTACTCCTGAGGGAAGACGGTAGCTTCATGCTGGAAACCAGCATTAGGATTAGCAGATCAGGAGGCAGAGCTTGGTACTAGTTTTTAGAAATTGTATTTAGTGTTTCTTTTCCTTTCCTTTCCTACCAGCTGTAAGTTAGAGGCATCTGCCACGGTACAAATGACTGGGAGATCTGATTTTCTTATTTTAACTTCGTATGATTTTAAGAATAAGCATGTAAATAAGGCTCATTTTGCCCTTGGAGATACGGTACTTGACTTGTAGGGTAGATACATGCAGAAACTAAAATGTCACTTGGATTTGCGGTTAGATATAGGTACTTTTTGTGTGTGTTTTCTGCACTAGTTTGGTATGTGAGAAATTGTGTATTTGCCTGTAGGGCTACTTGTGGGTCTTTTTCCTTTAGACAATTTTCAGCATGGTTGATTTGACTTCAGAGTAGAAAATTGTGCTTGGTTCTGAAACTATTTGACTGTTTCGGAAGAAGAAATGCATTTACACAGCTGGCAGTGACTAGTATGCTTTTGCTTTAAAAAACAGTACATGCATGGTAAATAAAGTATCTCGATATAATTGTTCAATTTACTGTGTTGTGCTAGATAGACTAGGACTGTGGTATATAAAAAGAGCTGGTCCTTTTCCTCCAAACCCCAAAAAAAGCAAGTTTTCACAAGTGTTTATTTTTGTTTTCTTGAGTCCATATTTATTTGAAGAGTAAGTCATTAGTCCAGTTGCATTGTGTTAAAAGTCTAACCTTTTCACTGTGTAGTGTAGTCATCAATTATATTGAACTTCAAGCCAGTTTTAAAAAGGGCCTTCAGAGGAGTAAAATTTACCCTACATTTTGTGCAGGTATTAGAGCTTAGGTGTCTTTAACTATTTTTATTAAGATTAATACTGCATAATTTTCTGTCAAGGTTTTAGCAGCATGACTCATTGCAACTGAAGTGCAAGCAGGGGCTCTTTTGTGTTGGGAAGGCTGGGTTAAACACTTAATTGAGTGCTTGAAGGAGAGGCATGTTTTCAATGCAAATTGTTTTTGTATTGTAAAACTACATCAGAAAGGGGGTTTTCTTTCTTTTAAAATACAATAGTTATCAGTGGGGAGGTAAGAGAACAAAATTCCTTTGATAAAGGTTAGCAGAAAAGAAAATGAAATGTAGGTTTACTTGAAACTTTAATTTAGGTGTTAAAAATTTTCTGTAAATCCTTGGCAGCATGATTACATACTGCACTTAGGCCTTAGGGATGGTTTTACAAAAATACTAGTGGAGTTTTAATTAGCTTACATAACTAATGCTTTCTGGATTACCCTGATTTCATCATTCACACCTTTTTTTTATCCTTAGATGTTGACATATCACTTCTTGTTTCCTTCAACAAAATGAAAAAATTGACTACTGATGGAAAACTGATAGCTCGAGCTGTTAAAAGTTCATCTGTTGTAGAGGTATTTAATATTTCACTCTCTTGTATTTGCTGATGCTGGAGTAATAACAATAGTGGTACTGAAGTAAGCAATCATCTCATGGAAAACGCTTGTTCATTTCTTGTTACTTTTAGTTGGATTTAGAAGAAACTAGAATCAGAAGACGCCAGCCCCTGGGTGAGCAACCAAAGGACGTGGATAGTCGTACAGTCTATGTGGTAAGGTTATATTTGTGTGTATGCCTCCTGTCTGGCAGAATGCTTTATTTCTAGCTGAGGGCGCTCTTTTAAACTTCATTGCTGTTAACTCTTTAAGAGTGCAAAACCCACTGTGCATTGTCTATGACAATCTAATTACATAGTATTATGTACTGTATTAAGAACAACAAGACCAACATAAATCAGCCACAAAGTTTTATCAGAATTAGAAGGAAGATTTTTTTTTTTTTTGAGAACGTCGTGGATTTACTACAAGAAACATTTACATAAAGTATAAAAGCTAATAGAATTTGAATTTTGTCTCTTTTTTCCCTCTCCAAAAGGACAGTGTGAGAGAGCGAAATGCGTTATAGGTGTACTGAACTTGCAATGCTAAGGCCTATGGGGTGGCTTCAATGTACCTATTTAATGAAGTAAATATTTTTTTTGTATCAGAAATGTATCTGTGCCTCAATATTCTTGTTAACACAGGGAGGGACAGGGCTGGTGGCTGGCTACTGCTGCTCATGTAGTATAGGTAGGGGAAATAAATTAAGCAAAATTAAGCACTGGCAGTGACCATGGCAAGAAAGGGATTAGTGTAGTACAGCAATTTCTTGTACAGTGCTGAGCAAAGAGAAGCTTCACCTGCTAGTAGGAAAAGGTGTGCTTTTATTTATCCATTACTGCTTTCACTGGGCTTTTCTAGTTAGTTAATGCCATTAGAAGAGCAACACTAGTACCAAGAAATATTTACAAAATACATTAATGCAGTCAAAGCTTTAGAATAATAACTTCATCAGTTTTATCAAACAGGATCTGGCTGAGTTTGCAAGATAATCAGGGGTACTTTCTAAAGTACAGTCTGTTTACAACTGTTACGGAAAGTGCCTCTGATTTTATAAAATGCAAACATCATTTTCTTACAGGCAGAATGTATCTATATAAGCTAGTCTTATTTTTAGGGGGCTTTTAAAAAAAAAAATCCTAATAGCACATTATCCTTATGGCTACCTTGATACTGAAATGATTCATTCATTTAAATGAAAATGGCTTGTACTGCTGGAAAAACACCGCATTTCAACATATTTCAGGTGTGTCAAACAGTTGTTATATTGGTGAGCCACTCACGTGATAGCATGTAAAGAGAGCTGATGGTTGAAGTGTCACTTATTTAAAATCCTGTGCAGATTTTTAATAGATTTGAAGCCAGTATGGAATTCCCTTTGTCTCTAAAGAAAGCTTTTCATGATTAATGTCAATTTAAGTATATAGCTGTAGCTGTTAGCAGCTGAATTTCAAGCAGGCACCAAGCTTTCTGTGCTGAAGATAGATGATTATAATTATGCCCAAAATGCCAGCCCATCCAGATGAAGAGAAGCTTGATTACTTTGATCATGATGTTCATTAACAAAGGCCCAGAAAAGGATATTCGTTCTTTTAAGTACAATGTGCCAGTCCATAGTATTTCCCTAACATGATTACAGGGACTGCTTAGAAATTCTCAAATATTCTGTATCATTTTTGTAAAAGGTAATCTAAATGATATGAGCTATGTAGCCTATACATAGCTAAATGTATAGACTTTTTTTTCTGTAAGACTAAAATAGGTAAGTGGTGTGTTTTGTAAGCTACTTGATTTGTAGAGATCTTATTAAGAGTATGAGTAGTAACCCATTGTCTTCTCTGACTGCTACCAAAGAGGGTAGGTTGTTTTTTTTTCCTTTTTAAAAGCTAGTGTATGAGGTATCTGCTAGAGAAATGTAAATCCATCTTAAATGACTGGTATGTAGGAGTTTGGGGGGAGTAGAAGTAGGCAAAGTGTTGGTAAGTTTTGTTTCATTCTGGAGGAGGTGAGAGATTTCTATGTTGAAATAATACAAAGGTTACAGTTAATTCCTCCACGGTAAAGGATTGTCTTCAACAGTAGTGTTTTCTGAATTTATGCAGGAAATCAAAGTATTTCTGAACTAAGAGTTGAGACTTAAAATGTGTTTCTTTCAGGAATAGTTAACTTCATTATATTTTTTTACATACAGTCTCATTTAATTTAGAGAAAGTTTAAATTTCTCTGAAATACTTACGGTTAATGGCTTTTTTAATATGCTTTAACATAAACTACACTTTAACATACGCTGTTACTTAGTTCTCATCCCATAATATTTTTAAAGCTTCAAGTAACTGGCTTTTCAACTTTATACCAAACCATAATTAAACCTTTTTCTCAGGCAGGCGAAGTTCATGCAAAAACAGTTTTTCTACCTGAATGTTTTCCTACAAGAAAAAACATTTAGTGCAATAACTTGTGATGGAAAAAAAAAAAAAAAAAAAAAAAATTGCTGACTGTTGTTTAGGCATGAATTTGAGAGTAGGGTTTTAAAGTGTTCAGTTGGGTCTATTTAGAAATTATCTGACAATTTCTTTGATTGGTCAAGGTAAATGTTCATGAACTGATACATGATGTCTGCAAGCTGCTAAAATGTGTTGCTATATTAAGGTGTTTATAGAAATAAAAATCAGACTGTTTTATCATCCAAAAAGCTGGCTGAAAGCTGCTTCTACATCTGATCAAGTAGGCCATAAATACTAACTGCTAAGCTTTAAAATGTCAGCTACCAGCAGGAATTTATCAGTTTGAGTAGTGGCTCTTTACTGACCTACAAGAATTCTTCCTGTGATACCTGGATTACCAAATATAAATTAAAAAAAAAAAAAAAATCCTTGTGCTATGCACTGGATAGTTTGAGATAATGCAGAATTATGTTTACTCAGTGGTCTTAAGTTTACAAAGGTATTTCGTGTTCCAAAGATACAGCTGTAGGTGAGGTCTTGATACCTGTCACAGGAAGAAGGTAAGCATCTAAATTAAATATGTAATGTGTTACAAGTATATGAATGATTAGAGATCCATTTCCAGATCACTGGTTTTACTACCTGAATACTGTGACTTCTTGACAAGAATACTTGCTTACTGAAGTAAAAATTGCTCAACGTTATCGCATCAAACTTAAATAATTAGAAAATGTAGTTAACTATATGATACAATAGTAATACGGTAGTGATAGAATGACTTTTTTTTCTCTCTCTTTGTAGGAGCTGCTTCCCAAAAATGTCAATCACAGTTGGATTGAGCGGGTGTTTGGGAAGTGTGGTAATGTAGTTTACATCAGTATACCCCGCTATAGAAGTACTGGTGATCCAAAGGGATTTGCTTTTGTTGAATTTGAAACTAAAGAGCAAGCAGAGAAAGCTATTGAGGTGGGTAATGGTGCCTCTGCTCTGTTAACATTCTTCCTGCTTGTCGCTTTGTGATATGGATGGTGTAGTCTTTACTAGTTCACCTACTGTATTTTAGACAAATTCCTAAAATATCATAATTGGCAAACTTCACTTATCAGGAGTTATATTGCTGCCTCCTACCCTCAGACCTCCAGTCAATTCCCTAATTTTTTAAAAGTGTAGTTTTGTTAATAACCTGGAGACTTAGAAATATAGTGGATACTTTTTGAAATACATTGCCTGGCTGCTCTTGGCATCTTTTATGGAAATAGAGATCTCAGTGTAACAGTACAATGTCTGTTAAATCCCATAAGACAAGTGTGGTCATACCTGAATTTCTGTATTTAAATGTAATTTGAATGTTTAAAAACATTTATGTTTCAACGTCATAATGGTAACAGGTGCATAAAGATATCACACTAATAATGTGAAATCAAACAAGCTCTACATTTAAAATGCAAACAACAAAACAACCCACAAAAACTACCACACCATGAAAGTACTGAAAGAACAATGTATCCCTCTGGAGTCGTGCGGGATTCTTGAATGCATGTAGGACTGCTGGTTTTAAGTGGGGCTGAAGATTCTTTAAAAAAGAAAATATGATTTTTAGTAATGGTTGATGTATTTATTTTTTTTTAAGTTTCTGAATAATCCACCAGAAGAAGCGCCACGGAAACCTGGGATTTTCCCTAAAACAGTGAAGAATAAGCCTGTTCCTACGCTGAATACAAGTAACAGCAGTGTAGTAGGTAAGCGTTATTGTTACTGGGACCAAGAAACAAACTGCATTGTGCCTTAACTCCTGAAGAGAGAACTTTTAACTCTGGTCTCATCTCATGTTTCTCAAAATCTTTATAAAAATACAAATGCATGTTGCTATTTGTAGCCAGTGTGAGCTTAACAATGGAAGTGTAAACCAAAAATGCAGTAAGTTTCTGCCTTTTTGGTTTTCCTGCTTGATGAAGAACTTAATTTCTTTTTTCCCCCTCTGTTGCCAGCTACCACCATTAGTCCTTATTAGACTGCCAGAGCAGCTTTCAGATGTACCATAAATCATTATCTAAGCATTTAGCATTAGAAAAAGACAAATTTGACATGGATTGTTTTAAAAATATTTAGTATTGAAGGAAAAAATACAGACTTAATAAGCGAGATTATACTTAAACGTTAGTACTGTTCAGATAAGTTTGTGATCATGACATTTCAGAGCAAACCTTGTGGTATTCTCTCTGCTGAAACTTTCTGAGAGAGAATTATGAAAACAGTGGGTTTGTGCCATTCTTCCTTTTTGGAACTCTGCTTTTTCAGCAGAGAAGTCTATAGTGGAATGAACTTTTTACAGCATATTTACAATTCCACTTTACATGTTTCATAATTATGTAAAAACAGAGAACACTGCATTCACAGTTGAGCGTGTTCCCAATAAAGACAATGTATTATAATGTACAAAGCAGAATCACAGGATTATGTTACAGTTTTGATCACTGAAGCATTTTTCCTTTTTTCTGATGTAATGCAATTTCCCAGACTTCAGACACCTTCTGTTTTCATAAGCAGAATGATGAATCATGTTATATTCCTCGTTATTATCACTAATTCTTTGTTACACCAGTAACTATTAGGACGAGAAAAAAAAAAAAACCACACCAAAAAAACATGCTTTTTAAACTGTGCTTTAAACCCACTTAAGATACTACTACTGCTTCATACTGCATTCTGCGTATGATAACTTTGAAGCAAGTATAGAGTATTAAAAAGTAATTTTTTTTTTCAGATCAGTTAACATTCTTTAACAGGCAAATAGTTGTTTATTACATAAGTAGTATAATAGATTCATTGAGCTGAGTATCTTTTATTCTCAGAATACAAATTGGCAACGATGCGTTTCTTGTCCTAGTTGTTTGGCCTGGAAGGAAGAAGGTAGCCTCTTCTCAAAGACAAGCAGGGGATGACATAACAAAGTGTGCATTTGTTAAGGAGCAGCAAAGATCTCCTTTTTAATTTGAGAGTAAATACTTCAGGAATCCTGTCATCAAGCTGCCCTTATGACCCAGAGGTGGTCTTCATTTTGTGAGACTGAGAGTCGTATCTGTATCTTTTTTTATTCATGCCTAAAATGCCAGGGAAGAACTTTGGGACAATGTATTGCAGCTCTTATATAGTTAGAGATGTCAGAGACAGGTGTTTCCTTTAACATCCCAGATTATCATATGCGGTATTGTGATTGTTTACTTAGGTCAGTTAATCTAATCTAGTTTTTAATCATTGGCAGTTTAAAATACTGTATTTTTAATACAGAAGAGAAGAAAAAGAAGAAAAAAAAGAAATCCAAAATCAAGAAAGAGAGCAACGTACAGGCAGCTGTAGAAACAAAGGAATCGGACACAAACACTACAACAGAGCAAGTACCCAAGTCAAAAAGACATAGGACTTCATCGGAGTGTTCAGAAATGGAAGGAACTGAGACTCACAGGCAGCCTTCAAAGAGAGAAAAGAGGAAATGGGACAGAACAGAAAGCTCAGAGGTACCTTGGGAAAGCAGGCCAGGGAAGAGAAAAAGAACAAACTCTGGAGATGGTGAGACATCAACTCCAAAAGTCAAGAAAACTGTTCAAAAGGATGAAGTTCATCCTGTAAAAGAAGAAACAACAGAAGTTTCAAAGGATTCCAATGGTAAAGTTTGTTGCATGTTTTTTCAGTATTTTCATGATTTGTACTCCTGAATGAAATCAAATGGCAGGTTTAGTAGTGAGGAAAAGTCTAGATAAGGAGAAAAGCTTGAGTTAAAGAAACTATGTTCTTTGCAGTTTAAATAGTATTTGTAGTGGTCTAAGTTAAGTAAATAGGAATCTTAATATGCTAGAGGTAACAAGCAAGTGAGTAAAGGGGGGTTGGTTGCAAAGGAACAAGTGTAATCTGTGTAATACAGATGCATTAGTGAAATGACTTTTGGAGGCTAATAGATTTATTACTTGAGTAAGCATTCAGACACTCAGCTTGTCTTTGAAAGACTGAAAACTGCTTGGGTCAGTAGATGAAAAATGATTGATATGGTGGAGATATATAACAAGGTCAGTTTAGGAATATGTGGTGTTCCCTGCAGTTAAATTTAAACCTGGTAAGAGTCATTCTTCCAAGGAGATAAGGGGCAGAAAAGAAGTTTCAACACTGAAGCAGGTAAATCTCATCAGAAGTAAAAACAGTTCACAAAGAAGTTAATATCAATAGAACTTCAGTCACAGAGGTGAAGTATGGATTACAGCCTAGGCAAATGGCGACATATATAATCTAGATAAGAAAGATTGAGATAA